GTTTGAACGACTCTTACAGAATCACAGCAGTTTTAAATGTAGGCCTTTAGTTTTGAGAAATATACGTTAAAGCAGCTTGCCATACTCGAGACGCGTTTTTAAAACTATAACTAGACAACTTTTCCAGTTGACAAGTCAACAGTGCTCAGGGAGCGAGTGGCTAAAAAACAGAGAGACGCAATGCAAAGACCAAAGACGTCCATCTGACGCCGGTGTACAGAGACAGAAATAGCAATTACAAAATAGCCAGAACGCCCCCTAACAGGTTACAGGCGTTACACTGGAACTGTTCTGATACAGCACACAAACTAAAAGGGAAAAGCGACATGAAGTGTGAACAATGATGCCATTATGATCCATCTACTATCCCAGGCTGTGTCACAAAACCGAATGAACCGCCTACATAGACAGCAGCATCGGGCATCATAGGCGCAAGTATGCTGTCTAGGTAGGGAGCCTGCTGGGTTTTTGGACGCGGCGGTGTGTGGAAGTGTTAAACAGATAATTGCTGATGCAGTTCACGGATTCACACGTACTTTGGCCCTGCTGCTTAACAGCAACGCTGCGACCTAAACGGAGCTTGTACCTTTAAAACGCGTATTCCCGTTGCCGCTCGGGCTGTCGCTGCGGGGGCTCGGTCGGATCCCGCTTCATGCAGCACTGGGTTCAGCGCTGCTCCGCTGCCCGCCCGGCCGTCCTCCACATCGGCTGCATTTCTCCGTTCCGTGTCGGCGCTCTGGAGCGACCGCGCTGTGCTTTCCTCGTCCTTCATTTCGCCTACATTTGACGTCTTTCAGCACAGAAATCCAGATGTAAGATAGCAATTGGCGACAGATAAATTCCGGTACAGGAGGCGGTAGAAAAAGCCCATCCTGATTTGATGAGACGCCATAGTGGGACTGAAGCGCACGGCTGTCAAATAAACTCAATAAATAAACATGAGGGGGCGGCGCTCATTATTATTCATATAACACCGCCTCTGTTGCTGAATTATTCATGAGCATACTTAATCTAAAACTGGTGATTTGAAATGGGTCGTCACAAATTTTTATCAATCCCATTTCATTCAGAATTCAACACAGGTTGAACATTTACTGAGTACATAGCTCTCCAGAAAACGTTTAAAAAAATTTAAAAATCGACCATTTCCTTTAGGTAACCAATATACATTTTGTTCCTAGTGTAAGGGTTTCTGATAAACATAAAAATGACACTTCCTCCATCAGCAGTCAGCACTGTTAAAAAAGCACATCAGGTCTGTAAAGCTAGTGAGATTTGGAGTCATTCACTCTTATCAAGAATCACTGACCTCTGGCACCCAAACTGGAATGACTAGCTCTTCTTGTGCAATGTGTTTTGAAGCAGTTCAACTTTAAACTGAACGTACATTTTGTAGCACACTATAAATCAGTCATATTGAGATAAGTCTGACGTTTTAGAAAAATATAATGCATAATGTCTGTGATGATAAACATAACAAGGAATAAAGAAATGAGGCCTTTAATAATAAATTACATTAAAAAATAGGTTAAGGAATTTATGTTCCCAGGATTGACATCTATTACTAACAACTTTTCTTTTTCTTGTATATGACATTAAAACGGTCTTGGGCACTATATAGATTGTATAGACTGTATACATTTGGTTTTACCCTTGTCCTAGAGCAGACTTTTAATCTTATCTAATCTAAAATACAAATAATTAATTTTGATTTATGATAGCTGTCTCTTGGCTGTGGCAACGTTTCCAATCAAGCTGTAATATTGACGTCCAAGCGTTAGACGTTGCTAGTGGACAAAAAACTAGCTGAACACCTTTCAAAATGCAATGCAACTTGAGTACAAATGCTGAGATGGAGACAGACATGTGATCACGTCATAACTGCAATATAAAATTTTGCAATCAGTGACACATTTTTTTTTCCTGCATCTCATCCCTGCAGATAAAGAAGGTCTTCACTGAGGTGTTAAAGGTCATTTTATTAACCTTCACAATCTGTTCGAGGTCGAGAGACCTTAACAGTTTAAAAGGATACTTATTAAAGTATCAGGTTTTATTGATACTTTGATCAGACCCAAGATATAAAACATGAATAAATGCAATAAATTATCATCATTATTATGGTCGTCAGAAGTGATGGTTTAAAGTAAAAAACAAAATTTTTAAATGCCTTAATGTTGGATTTGTTTCTCAAAGGGCTTTTCTCTTCACAAGACGTTAGATGGACTGGAGTGGTGTGGATTGTTGTGATGTTTTTATCAGCTGTTTGGACTGGACTATTCTGACGGCACCCATTCACTGCAGAGCATCCATTGGTGAGCAAGTGATGCAATGCTACATTTTTCCAAATCTGATGAAGGGGTCACCCGAGGGAGAGTACATTTTCAGCAAATGTTCAACTTTTTCTTTAAAAGCTTCATTTTTTCTGTTGGGTTTTCTGGTTGGAGGACATTTTAAAAGAATTTGAAGGGGAAAGAAACCGGTTGCTTTTTTACTATTATTTTCACAAATACAGCACTGGAGTCACCTGAACAGAACAGAGGGTTAAGATGAAAAACAACAGAACAGAATATGAATGATTATTGTATAATTCATTCTATATTTGTCTGGACATCAGGAATACTCGTTTCATTTTGGCTTCTATGCCATATTGCAGTTTCAAAGTTTAACACAAGAGGGTGACAGCAGACTAAATAAAGCTCAAACTAGATCATTCATTATGGTTTTTCAGACTCCGTTCAGTTACAAATGAAGAAAACCACTTATTTCCAAAACACATCATCAAGTTTGACAGTTTTATTATTTCATTTGATAATTTTCTCCAACCCAAAGACAATAATACACAGCATAAGTCTAAAATATCCCATGAGGACATGGACTTGCGATTCAGTTCAGCATGTCAGACTCATTGGGGCCATCCTCCCCTCCTGCACAAGTTCAGATGTGTTGAATAGCAAGTGTAAAATATCTGAGATGGGGGCACATGTATAGATACACTTCAAAAACAACCGATACCTTTACAGATTACAAAGAGATTCTGATGGAGAAGGCAATCATCCAAGCATGTGATACAAAGTCCATCTGGTCAAGCAGTTACACCCAAACAAATGACGCTCAATTCCCCCTGACTGACCGTCTTCTGCACAGGAAAAAAAATCTGCTGCTTAATGAAGATTAATTGGAGAATCAACATATTTCCAAATGTACAGAGGTCTGTGCATGTATCGCAAGATATAGTGAACAGTGACTTGAGAATTCGAACTTAGCTTGCATTACCTCAGGAAGTTTACATAAAGAGTAGAAATGACCATATTTACATTGCTTTTTTCACATGCGGCTGAAAAAAAAAAAAATGTTGGTGTGAGAAAACTTGCTGAGAGATGTGGCAAGTTCACAGATGGTTGTTTCGCCCTCTTCAATGCGCAAACATCTTGGTGTAAGAAGCAGCAGATTCAGAAAGTCGGGTTTTGAAACGGCTCTCGCGCAGAGCCATTTACTATTGTTACGCACCTCTCGACCCACACAAAAGATATTTTGAAAAATGTTGGTATCCGAACAGTTGATGGGCACCATTGACTTCCATTGTATTTTTTTTTCCTACTATGGAAGTCAATGGTGCTCATCAACTGTTCGGATACCAACATTTTTCAAAATATCTTCTTTTGTGTTCAACAGAAGAAAGAAACTCATACAGGTTTGGAACAAGTGGAGGGTGAGTAAATCATGACAGAATTTTCATTCCGGAAGTTAACTTATCCTTTAAGTTCACTCAAGAAGCATCAAAACATTCAGGGATGAGACCATGTTCTCCAGCCTGGGATATTACACATTTCCTGACAGCGTTTTATCTGAAGTTGTGCCTCAACTCCATGTGCTTCAAAAAAATAAAAAATAAATATGCATGAGCCTAAACTGCATGGAAAAATCAGTAGCGGTGGTTTGTGGGAAAACTGTAACTATAAACTTTGGTTTTTGAGCTTTCCTCAACATAGCAATGTTACTATAAAGAGGTCTGAAGACCGTTCAGGTCATTCCAAACCTGCATGACTTATTCTGTGGAGCACAAAAGATGTTAAAATTGAAAAAAGTCTCCATACAATGAAAATCAATGGAGTCTAGTCGTGATTTGGACAAAAACTGCTGACACATTCTTCAAAATATCTTCTTTTGTGAATAATCATTCATACAGGTTTGAAATGACATGAGGGCGAGTTAAAGGGTTAGTTCACCCAAAAATGAAAATTAGCCTGTTTTATACTCACCCTCGAGGCATCCTAGGTGTATATGACTTTCTTCTTTCAGACGAATCCAGTCGGAGTTATATTAAAAATTGTCCTGGCTATTCCAAGCTCTATCATTGCAGTCAGCGGGTGTTGCAGTTGAACGGTCCACAAGTTGTCAAATAAAGCGCGTGCATTCATAATAAACACGCCTCACACCACTCTGGGGGTGGGGGTGGGGGATGTGAATAAAGGCCTCCTGTAGCGAATCCATGCATTTTTGTAAGAAAAATATCCATATTTCAAAAGGTAATAAACACTTTTTCTTACTTCCATTATCTGTCATACGTGGAAGCCATTCCGGCGGATGACGCAGCACGTATGCACAGCCCACACGCCTCTGAGATATGCTAGTCTCGCGAGTTTGTTTATAGGAGCAAAGGAAGCAAAGTTTCCTTACTTTAGCAAAGGAAAACCAGTCTCCTCTTGGTTTATATCGAGAAATCCTCCGACATTTTTCTTTGCAAATCCTGTTTGTATTTCTGATTCATGACCGGCGTTCGTCACTAATCACGCAACGCCGACGTTTTACGTCATCCGCCGGAACGCCTTCCGCGTATGACAGATAACAGAAGTGAGAAAAAGTGTTTATTACATTTGAAATATGGATATTTTTCTTACAAAAACGCATGGATTCACTACAGGAGGCGTTTTTATTATGAATGCGCGCGCTTTATTTGACGACTTGTGGACTTTTCAACTGCAACACCCGCTGCTATTGGGTGGTGTAAACTGCGCAAACCGTAACAAGCAACAGCCTCTCTCTCAGTCACCTCCACCTCCAGTTTCATTGTCAATGACATTTAGATGCTGTATGAACTTGCCTAGTCATGATGATTCATGTGATGCAAGTCAAGCACTTCTTGACAGATCTGATAGTGTGTACATTACTGCTGACAGACAACGAGCCAAACGGTTTCATGTGAAATACGGTGTAAGCCACAACATAGCTTGTATCCGGAGCATTCACCTGGTATACTTTATTACAGGACATTAGATCAACCTTACACGAAAATTAAGAAATGCCATGTACAACGATGATTTAAGGTGCCATCACAACCCATTTTCCTCTTGATTCTGAAATGGTTAAGGTGCAAATGTTCAGAATTTTGCAATTAATTTAGTATGTCTTTTTTTGTTTTTCTTTCTTAAAATACACCAAACCCATTAACAAGATTAAAAACATGAAAAAAAATCTAACAAAACAGACAAATCAAACAAGCAGCTCCTTTGTATAGTGGCCACAAGCGATGTTTTCCCATGTATTGGCCCTGGGCGGCAGGGTGAGTCAGAGTGCACTATAGTGACAGATTAAGTGAGAGTGCACAGTGTGAGCATGGACATTTTGCACTAACCCCGAAGCAGAGAGAAAGACAGACGGGCAAAGAAACAAATGAAAAGATATGTATTGAGATATTTGTGATTTTTCTTCATCATTGTCGCTGTAATTGTCTTCATCATCATCATCATGTCTTCATACCATCAACTCTTGACTGTGTCAGGAAGATTCCACTGCTTCCCATGCAACCCCAGGGCAGCGATCTGTGATGTCGTCACGGGGGATCATTTGAGAATGGGGAGGGGACATCTTTCCCATAGTTCCCTTGCTGGGGGTCTTTAAGATAGAGAAGGGTAGCAAATCACTGCCAGGACTGAGGGGGGAAATTGTTGACCTCGGACAGGTCTTGTACAGGAGAGCCTTTGTGAGTGTATGTCAGCTTGATCCGCATTCGCAACTGTTGCTGTAATAAAAGACGAAGTCAGGCACAGGCTAAAGGCAAAATTTGCTATTATTAAAAATTATATGACATTATGATGTTTATCCATAAAATTGAGTCCTTAATTGCTGTAAATGCAAGCATTACTGGTGACAAACTAGAGCTGCGCAACTTAGGGTGGAAAACCTCATTTGAGATTTTTCTGATAAAAATTACAATTAAAAATGTGAATGGTTTGCGGTACGTGTTTGTAGGGCTGCACAATTTGCCAAAAAATGTATTATATGTTAATGTCCATATAATAATAATCATTATTATTATTATAAATATTAAACATTTAAAGTATTATATTATAATAATTATTCCTCTATTCTTCTTATTATACACATATATACATATATTTAAATCAAGCATTTGCAACTATTTGCACTAAGCCATAATGTAATTCCGGTTTTGTTTCGATTAATCGTGCAGCCTAAATGTGACAAGCTTCAACTTCAGAGCAAAACCAGCCTAATCAGCTTCTGATTGTCTTCACGCATTTGATTTCAAACGCTAAAGGCTAGCATCTCACTAGCTGATTTTCAGTTGATTTTCTGTAGTAAACTTCATTGACGTTGTTGGACAATCAGAGGGAGCTTTGCCAACAAGTTCAGTTCAGGCACTGGGAAAAGCTCTCATGCTCTTGGCAGTGACCAGCGAGCTTCCTCTGATGCTGAAAACCACTGTTCTTGCTCTGATTTCATCCAAATCAGACTTCTGAACATGTTTCAGGATCAATGGACTGATCTCTGAAGATCTACTGCAATAGCAAGCAGAGTGTGGCCTCACAGTAACATCTTACCTTCTGTGGGTTGAGAACCCTGATGACTTGCGTGACACTTCCCTGGTTGAGTGCTGGGACTACATTACTGCTGGGGGACAGGAGCTGCAGCTGGAATGTCTAAAAACACAAACAAATGATTAAGCATTTGACTGGAGCAGAAATTATACAATAATCGTGATTGCATGCACATGAATATTCCAAAATTAATAGGAATGTTCATATTCTGATTGTGTATGCATCACATGAATTAATTAAACGGATTTTTTTTTTTAATCACGACAAAGACTTTTCAAGACCTGCACAAATACAATAATACTGTATGTCCATACAGAACAAACCCATACAATCTCAAAATAAATTGTATCTCAGATTCCTTGTCTTAATTAAACAGGCTGTGGCACACATTCAACTGCAAGTTTAAAATACTCAAGACATGTTTTATTCAATATATTGGAATAGCAGGACAATTTTTAATATAACTCTGACTGGATTCGTCTGAAAGAAGAAAGTCATATACACCTAGGATGCTTCGAAGGTGAGTAAAACACGGTCTAATTTTCATTTTTGGGTGAACTAACCCTTTAAATGACAATATTTTTTGTTGGGTAAAATATCCCTTTAAATTGCATTATTATGTATAACTGGGAGTACATGAGGAAAAAAAAAAAACAGCTGATACCCAGGAGAAATTACATCCATATGCAGCATTTCATTCTTTCAGTAGTACATGACTGCGATCCAGTTAAAATCTAGTCTAGTTAAAACAAAGCGAACTCAAGATCATGTGCACATTATTACACCCCTAACTGAACGTCATAGGTCTTCAAATGGGGTTTTTATTTGATTTGATCTTTTTGATGCGTTTTACAATTATACACAATATACAGGCAGCACATAGTACATTTTCTTTCCAATAAACAATCAAACAGGTAAGTTGTTAAATTAGACTACTTTCTGAGGGACAGCTTCAAACATTATACACTGTGTGCAGTACTGGAAGCAAGTCTTAGAAAATGGGATCTTAAAAAGGGATGAAAAGAAACAACTGATGCATCTTAAAAGCCCTCAGTATGTACAGAAAAAGCCAAGTAATCGAAAGAATCGCAACAAAACTCAAAGAGGCTAATAGAATGAGAAGTCTTTTTTTTTCTCTCCATATACATAACATTGCTAAAAATATTTCCCAAGCCCAAAGAACATCTCTTGATTTGGTCACCAGACTTCAGTGTGGCATAGCGAATGTAATTACGCAAAGTGATGAAGAAAACAAAGAGCAGCGAGAGATGACGTGAGGATACGGACGCAAAGAGAGCATTTCGATGACTTGATGAAACGTCACAGTACTCTCCCGAGTCGACAAAGACAAAACAAGACGACAATGTGAGGTATATTCAGGTTAATGTTGCGAACTGCCTTTGGAAGCGGCAAGAAGAGACACTAACACACACCGACGGTACGCACTTAAGACGCCCTCGGAACGAGAACTCGAGTGAAATGACAGCAAAACAAAAAAAGTCCTCTACTCTTCAGACATCATGTTCTTGCTCTTCCTGTAATGATAACCACTCATATGAGGGTTTTCTTTTTAACTAGTTATGACAAAGGCACATTGCTTTAAATCAGGCAATATTTCTGTACTCCAAATCACTGCAGAAAGTCAAACAAAAGCAAAAAAGTCCATTCAGTGCGTATAACTACATTCATGAAGGCCTTATATTCATAGTCTATATTTACAGCATCTACGCTGACCATAACCTCATTATACATTGCCAGGCCTCTAGTTGTGTTAATGTAGTGAGAAATCTATTTGAATTTTAAGATCACGTTCTTTAACTACTTTACATTTTTAGTAGATTTCAATCCTTAAGGATTGCGCTAAAAATCTAACTTCTTTAGTGTAGGCTATTTTCAATCTATATAAACGTATTTTAAGATTTAAAAATCAATTTAAGAACACACCATCTGTGATAAGTAGAGGCAAACAAAACAACTATATGCCAAATTAAGGGCTTTGGGGAAAAGTGTCCAGCTTTGACGATGCAAAACTATTGGGTGGTGTAAACTGCGCAAACCGTAACAAGCAACAGCCTCTCTCTCAGTCACCTCCACCTCCAGTTTCATTGTCAATGACATTTAGATGCTGTATGAACTTGCCTAGTCATGATGATTCATGTGATGCAAGTCAAGCACTTCTTGACAGATCTGATAGTGTGTACATTACTGCTGACAGACAACGAGCCAAACGGTTTCATGTGAAATACGGTGTAAGCCACAACATAGCTTGTATCCGGAGCATTCACCTGGTATACTTTATTATAGCATGCAAATGAAGAAATCTGACACATGCATAACCCTCTTCTGTATTTAATATAGGAGGACTGCACATGTTTAAAACCAGGCTTTAAAACGGTTGTTCTCTGGCTCATAAGCTTCATGGGAATGTGTCATTGTTTAGAGAAAAACAGTTGAGCTTGAGAACAAATGTTTGTGTAGACTCTTGTGGAAATGCATCAGAAACATGTCAAGTTGATATTGACAGACTTAAGAATATGGTTTGATGCTTAAAAGCATAATAGGTATTGGTGACTTACAAGACATCCTTTTCCTGATTATGTTTTACCGCAAACACCCCCACATTGGTTTCCACTGCAGTCTGTGGGTGTATTTTCTGTACTGAACAGGAGGGGGAGTATGAGAGTGAGGGGGGCAGACAAGATCAAATCAGCATAAAACAAGACAGACTTTGGGCCTGTCCCAAAACACACACTTACGGTCTTGGGCGCTTGAGAGAGTGTGTACGTGACAGGAAGTAAGTGTGCAAAAATTGTCCAAGGTCTAAAAAATACCAAAGCTCAGGTCCCTTAACGCACACTAAATCCACACTATCTCTAACACTGCAGTATGAAAAGTGTAACACATTTTATTGGTGCAGTGATGTATGTGTATTTTGTAAAAACACCACAATTAAATTGTGTGATACATAGGGACTAGGGATGGGAAGATTCCCCGATTCGCTCGGTGTTATCGACATAAAAAGTTAACGATGCGATGCATCGGTTTAAAAAGTGTGCATGGGCTACAAGTTGGCATTTATATCGCGATGCATCGTTTCTAACATATTTGCATCAGTAAAAACCGGTTTATTAATATATAATTACTAGTGGATGCGCTATACTTTTACTGTTTAGAAAGTGACCAATAATCTGTGACCAATATATTATATGTAGATTGATTTCTCCTCTCTAAACTGTTTCTCAAGCGCGTTCATTCATCACTGCTGCTGCGTGATTGTGACGCATCACCACAACACTACGGAGACCCAAGGAAAAGCAGGGATTAAAGTACAAAACCTGACTTGAAATAACCTAACATATCAATTGGGGCTAAAGCGGTTCCATAAATGTCTAATTAAGTTCACACAATCTCACCAATTTGTGCACGTTTATTCTTAAGCAGCCCTTAATGTCGATCGTCAATTGAATAGTAGCGCAATAATCCTGAGCAAATATACATTTTGCTAAAATATTTGTTGTTGGACATTAAATGTGTCTTTTGTAGAATTTTAAACCTTCATATAAGTGTATTTTCATGATAGCAGTAACTGCAAAGGGACTATTGTAATAGGTAAATCAAATGTAAGCTAGTTCAGTACTAATTACTAAGCTCAAATGAGTTGATGTGTGTTTCTTATAGCAGTTAAATCATAAAACCAGAGAGAAAGGCTGCATGGCTAGAAACTGTGTAAAAAAAAAATAAAAAATAAAAAAAGTCAAATAGTATGTGAGAGATTAGCCATTACATGTGAATTATAGGTTGTTCAATATTGGATTTCTCTTATACAATAATGTGTTCAAATAAAGCAATTAAAAAGACTATTGTGCCAATACTGGTAAAAATCAATATACTAAATGTGTTAATGTCATTAGCCTTCTCTTCCTGTGATGGGGCAGAAGAGACAAGAAGCCATAAAAGCTTACATTGAATTAAATGCCAGATACAATTTTTGGGTAGCCAAAATGCCAGTAAAACCCAGAAAAAAAGAAGAAAAAAAAAATTAATGTATTATGTGGAACTTTCAATTATAAACACGCCTGAAATACACTGGGACTTGTTTTGAAACGTCTATGCTTTAATGCCTCCAGCTGCTCATTCAAAAAGATGAGATAAAAATATGCTTTCTTATAACCTTCTACAACATGCCTTTTGACTTGCAGCACTCACATTTATTTAATGAAATGATAACCTTTTGAAGTTTAATAATCAAATTAGACTATCACAATTCCTGTTTTTCTATCTCCAAATTTAAGACCTCTTAAAATGACAATTAAGACTTTTGTTATACCATTTTAGATATTTCTTTTTTACTTTAAATGTGATCAATCTGAAGTTAAGACTTTAAAGGAACACTCCACTATTTTTGAAAATAGGCTCATTTTCACACAGCGCCTGAAAATAGGCCCCAGCACGCTCCCTGTGCAAGCAGGTGGTCACGTTGGTTATGTTGGCGGAAGTTAGCCTATTTTCAGGCGCTGCGTGATATCATTGCACCTCAATAGTCTCTGTAAATCCACTCTCTGACAGCAGGTGGCGCTTATGGAAAAACTGAATTTTCCCGTAACCTCCATGGACAAAGCAGCATTGCGATTAAGAACACCTCCTTTAGGTATTACATGGAGCGAAGACGAAAACAAAATGCCATTGAATCGTTTCTGAAGACAGTCAGAACCTTTTGATGTTTATTAAAGACTCCTTTACTTCTACTCCTTCTTCGTGCGCCTTTCCTACAACCACGACCGCGTGACACATAGATAAATACAACAGATTTTGTTACAAATAAAATAAGGTTGGTAGTATTCAAATACAGAAATGTAACAATTAGGGAAAATAACACTGTATAGTGTTCACTGTATAAATTAAATATAGATTTTATTTTAATTTAGTTTTGTTGTTTGATGATCATTAATGACAGCAGCAGTATTTATAGGCCCCTGTCCCTTTAAGACCTGATACACGGATCCGATATAATGATACACTTCACATCCGATTTCTTTCTCAGCTGTTTTCATTCACTTGAAACATAACTGACTGCGTTTACCTGAATGATTGTCGAGATGGGTATTTTGTCATAATTTTATTTGTCTGTGTCTGTTCAGAGGATTCAGAAGAGGATTCAGTTCGGTGTTCGCGCGCCGTTTTAAAACGCGCGAGTAACGAATCGAGTTCCCTTTTGCCTTTTCTCTCTGGAATTGTTTAAAATTCGCTTGCTTGTGTAAATACGAACAAATGATAAACTTATACTCTATTATGGTTACATTTTGCAATTAATCCGCGGATCACATGCGTGCCGAACCATGGGGCTTGGACCGTACGGATCACGGATCAACTACGGTCCGTTTAACCACTAAGGTTAACTAACTAGGGTTCTCAGTAACAAGAACTATTAGAGGGAAAAGAACAAACCTTTGGTACTGCAGCCTGGAACACAAATTCTGTCATGTCAGCCTCGGTGGAGTTGGTGGCATGGATGGTGATAACTGCAATATTGGGATTGGGGTTGGCCCTCTCAAATGTGAACTCGATTTTTAGACCATTTTTGTTGTACGCTGTCATTGGCGGAATACCTGCAAGACAGAAACAGATATGATAATTGCACTGTCCTATTTTGCATTAACCACTATGATGAAATTTAATGCAAGCTCACCTGCTGCAATGTCATTGAAGAGGGGCTGCGAGGTGAGACCGTCCAAAAGGAAAGGGGGCTGGGACAAGGTCACAGAGGGAGCAGGGGTGGGAGTCGGACCACCTAAGGAGTGAGAAGGTACAATGGTATGAGCAGGGCTTCACCCAAAAAAGAAAATTACTCACAAAAGGACGTCATTCAGGTGTTTGGATTGAAATGAGGATAAGTAAATAACAGTATTTTCATTTTTGGGAGATCTACAGTAGATGTTTACTTGCACTGATTTGAATGAATCCAATCTGATTTAAGATTATGAAAATTGTGTTAATATGAACCATAAACATTGCAATCTGATTCACATGTTTGTTTGCATGTGCATTACATGTATTCCGAACAAAACTGAAGCATTCGTATGACACAAAACATGTAAAAAAAAAATGCATCATGGCACAGTGTATGTATGTAAGGTATTTTTGAATCTGACTGAGAAAATAGTCTGATTAAAGCATTTACATGCTTCATTTTTTCCTGTTTATCAGATTATTTCAGCTTTCATCCGATCAAAATTTCATTCAGATCGAGCTCAGTCAGAACGATTGAGGTGTTTACATGACAGCTTTTCAATTTGATTGAGCAATCAATCCTATTATAAATGGGTTAAGTGCAAGTTAGCTACTGTAAAATCAGTCAGTGTCCTAAACATGGAGACACAGGAATGGCAGGATGTGAATTTGCTAGAGCACCAGAGGTGTGCAGCAGGCTGACCTGTCAGAAAAAGGTCTCCCAGCAGATCCAGCAGTTCTCCTCCAGCTGACGCAGGCTTTGTGGGAACAGTTGTTTGGATAACAGGTACCACATCATTACCTCCGAGTAGGTCTAATAAATCATTTGCCTGTAAAACAGGAAACACAGAACATTAGCATACAGTAAATATTTCACCACAGCTAAATATCCCTCTTTATCTGCTCAACCATACCGGAGATATTTTTTCATTACTCTAGCAGAGGTTCTCAATCCATTCCTAAACAATCCAATACTACTACGCCATGCATTTTGGACGTCTCCCTTATCTAGTACACCTGATTCAACTTATCAGATCATTAGTAGAGCGCTCAATGAACTAAACTGCCACTTAGAACAGCCAAACTGTAGAATAAAAAAAAAAGTACGTAATTCAACTGTAGATGAGGTATGCTCTTTAGGTATGCAGTATAAATGCATTCCCAGACACACTACATTCACCATATTGACAGCCTTTTGACCACATTTCTTTGACCCATAACATTCTAATCAACACGAAAATAATTTACTCAGCCATTGTTCAAGCAGCACAATTCAACCTTGAGGAATAGTTTTCTGGATGCCTAAAATACTTGCGTTTGAGCTGCCCCACTCATAGTACTCTGCCATTTTTTTAGTCAGGTTAGATGCCATACTGAATTTAATGTGGATGAAATGCGGCTGTGAGGGATAGACTTATGTAACTTTCAAAACTGTTTAAAGGAGTTTCTGTCTACTGGAATTTTTTTTTTTTAGAGGGGGGCTGGAGACGTTACATCAGCTGAACAATCGCTATGTGCAATTCTTTTAACACAGTGTATTTCTAGCAAAGTAATGATGTGTCATGTATACTGGATTTTTGACATCCTGTTTTTTGCATAATGAGTATGAGGAAAATACGCACATTTAGAGGCTGAATACATCGTCAGATTATTGAGATGCCTAAAATGTGCACTGGATTGGATTGAGAAACCATGCTCTAGAAACCCACCTGACTGGCTGGTTGAATGATGCTGGGCAGATGTTTTGTGTCCAGTATGGTTGAATCTGTTTCTCCATTGGTCTGGACAATCTCTGCTGGGCCGTTAGTGGCTGTTTTCTCCATAATAGGCATTCGCTCTAGTAATGCAGGTCTTCATGGGAAAGAGGAAGAAAGAAAGTGAGGACAAACAAACTTTAAAGTCCAGTGAAGAAAACGCAGTGTTAAGATGATTCTAACCTGAGAGATGTCATCCAGGAGGGCTTTGTAGAGTCTCTGTACAGTGTAGGCATGCATCTCTACACTATTTGTAATGAGCTGAATGAGGTTGGGCACAGAGTCATCCCGGACATAACTCCCTGCCTATAAAAGCAGATACAAAACAGGTACATCAGAACGGCATTTTAAACCACTCTGCCATCAAAAGAGAGCCATTTTGTCCATTTCCACCACAAATAACTTGGCTCTGGGCCTAAACAACTCTTAAAACGCTCCTAAATTCAGGCCAGAGGACAAGATAATGTCAGCAACAAATAACTGCTACTCAATCTGGAAAGACTACTGCAAAACTATATTAAATTATATTATTGTGGATGTTAAAATGTCCTCAAGACTTGCGTTTAATTGTGGGCAGGCTATGTCATCATTTGGCTCAAGTTAGTGGAAATGCAAACTGAAAGATGTCTGCAGATCCCTGGCCAAGCACTGGCCAAAAAAAACAGTTTTGGTGGAACAACGGCATGAAATGACATACAGAACTCAAAACACACATCACCAAGACCAAGATTAAGAAATGCTGTCGGAGATAATAGGATCATGCTTTACACTCTACACTCAATATCATGAGTTAATCAGCAACCGTAACTAAACATTGTCTATTCCAAAGTGTACTTTAAATTGACATCAAGTGATAAACTCAAATGATCATGAATGTGATCTAGTTTAATGGTAGGAGTAAAGCAGATTATAGTAAGAAACAATGAGAGCAAGACATTTACCGTTGTCAAAACCCTCATAATGGTGTCTATGTGCCATCTTTTGGAGGGTGCATACCTGCAACAAACAAGTGTTAGATATATGTGCAAACCAGCAGTCTAAAGCTTGCAAAATATAAAACCAAGTCACCAAGCCAAAAAGCATCAAACCAAGTAAATCTTTTTGAACACTCCTAATCAAATCCCTTTTAGTGCTGTCAGATATAAAAGTGTCAACAGAATCAGCTTCTGCCAATGGATCACTCATTTTATCATCACACAGCCATGAGTTGCTCTACAACTCACTTGAACAGCTCTTTATTTTTCAAGGGCTTGCTTACTGAATTTGATCGGATTCACTTAACTAGGCTTTTACACCATTTTAAAACGCTAACAGACTGCAGGCTTTCAAAAGGGCTGCAAGGACGTGCAACATGACTGTCATGCAAGGAAGTCGTTGGTGTTTCCCCTCACATGAGTTCTGCGCAACATGATTTGCATGATTTAACAATAAACAGCCTTACTTCTCTGCAGCCAGGAAGATCCCTGACGCGCAGTCCGCTTTGAAATCAGGGTCACAGGAGTCCAGGAAATACAGAAGCTCTTTCATCATGCCCCGGATGTTGTTGCCGTTAACCAGGGCAAAGCTCAGCTCCATTGCACGCCTGTGGAAGAACAAGCGTAATCAGTGGGGCTCATCCTCTTGTGCCATAATGGATATAAAAAGCCATGCAGCCTGTACATAAATTACCTTTTAATGGACACATCAAGGTCTTTCAAGCAGTCCACGATAGTGCTTCGATGTCTCTGCACAGCATTGTGGTCTGTCTGCACAGTCTTCAGTAGAGAGGTCAATGCCACATATCTGATTCAGGGAGAGTAATAATGTCAAAGCCCTATCATTTTGACAATCAAGTCTAGCGTGGGCAGCACATGAAATAAGCTATTTCAAGTCCACAGTAAAGCTGATGTCAGAGACTATGAGATCATCATTTGTAACACTCAGTCGATGGATCACTCAAGGTCTTCATCACTCAACAGCATTAAACAGCTTTCTCTCTGGTCACTTTATAACCAAGCCTGAATGTCACACTTGGGTCAAAAGTCACATACATACCTGATGTTTTTGTCATTGTTGAGAAGAAAACGTCCCAAAATGTTAATTGCTAAAACCTGTAATAATATAAACAACAGCATTTTTAACCACTTTCTGCAGACACCTTTGAACGTTATAAAATTGATATAAACCACTCACACAGCACCGCCAATCTAAGCAACTCACCCTTAGTCCACTCTCTGATTTGATGTCCATAATCGTAAGAACAGTTTCGTAGAGTATAGCATTGCCTACATTTTTACTTGTTTCTGTATTTGTTGCAACCTATTAAAAATAATTTGATGGGAAATCTTTAAAAGGTAGAAAGATAAAGTTATGTGGTTATAAAGTGGATATAATCATGCTGCTTACCTGTGCAAGAATGTCATTCATAGCTTCACTAGAATCATCATCACCCTTTCCCAGAATTCTCAGTAGCCTCAATATCCGCACCTTAAAAATGCCAAGAGACACAGTGTGGCCCAGAGGAGCTCATCAGATCGCTTTAGGCTATAAATGAACAGGTATCACCTCATATGGGAAAAATGGATTGCAAACTTAAGGACCACTCTAAAAATCAATTTCTTGCAACTGACCAAACAAATGACATGAGGTACATTACAGAATTTAATTCACATCGACTGCAACATTAAAAATGCTAAGAGATTTTATTTTATGGAATGACGCTCAGAAAAATCCCATATCACTGAAAATGGTGTCCTAAAATAATGTCTCTGTGACAATCCTAAGTGTGGTAAAAGGGTTTAGCCAAATAATTTTTTTTTTAAAAAGGCACTTTCTACCTGTCACTCATTTAGCATGTTCATAGATCAGTCCATATAAGGGAAGCAGGAAGTTGAGAGAGCATGGTGAGATGAATCATTTAAGTAAAGTGCAGAGCAATTTTGAGTTTGTCATGGAAGAGTGCAATTTTGCTACCATTGCAAAACTACTACTGGACTAAATGTTATCTTTGTAGCCCTGGTTTTAGAAAAAGGGGGCGTGTCTCATTCAATAGCAGACAGCCAACGTCACTTAGTGCACTTTTAAATAGAGCAACACTGACAGGAGATGATGTGTCTTTACCTGCAGGAAAGGGTCACTGATGCCAGACACATCATGCTCAGGGGAGTAGCCTGACATGATCAGGTTCTTCAGGATTCGTACAAGTTGTGGAACCAGCTAGAAAAAAAACAGTGGGAGAAGAAATGAAAGACTATCAGCAAGGTTACAGCATGGTCGTAGATATTTCAAAACAGGACAGCACATAAAAAGGGTCAGTAAGTGTCAATACACGTAGGCACCCTGAGTTGATCATCTTCCAATAGACTGGTTTCACTACACATTAAGACATGGAGGTCATGTCAGTGTTTATTGTAATTGTTTGGTACTTTTTCTGTGTATTAATATGATCCTTATTCATTTGGCAAAAGTCTCCATTTCATATGCGCCCCCACTATAATGTACATATTGGAAAAACCACAACCCAATAGTGACCGTATGAAAGAGAAATTAATCTAAAGGTAAACGCAGGACAAGTGAAATGTATATAATGTCAAAAAACAAAAAAGAAAACACTTAAATGACAACTGCAAAAAAAAAAAAAAAAAAAAAAAAAAAAAAAAACAGTACATCAAAACCAAAAATTGGACTATATCTACAGTGACCATGATGATGAGGCTTTTTTTTTGTTTGTTTTCTTTAAGCATGCACCAGCTATGAAACCAGAATGTCCTCTTACCTTCTCATTCTAACACAATGCAGGAATTGTAACAAAGACAAATGACAGAAAAAATATGAAGTAGATGTTAGGGGGGAATTGGAAAAAAGTCACTTTCAGAGAAGAGCTTAACATAATGCTACGGTTATGAGCATGAGAGGTGGGCGTGCTGGCACAGTAGATCAGGCTGGGGGTGGGAAGATTAGAAGCAGATACACAGAGAGGAAGAACCCGTATTCATCTCCCACTGAGATAAACACACCTGCAGCTAAATCCAGGACAAGCATCCAGATTTCAGTAAGGACTACAGTCTCATTTCAGTAGTCATGTCAATGCTATCAGCAACAGATAAAGAGTGATTTTGTGTAAGAGTGGCTGATGTGGTGCATAAACAGTTTTAGAGGTGACTGCAGAAGGTCAAGGCATGAACGCTTGCTACGCACCTTCCTGAAGTGAGAGAGCATATCAGGACTTCGCTCACACATTTCAGTGAGCAGAACAACAGACGTGTGGAGAACTCCTGCAGAAAACACAGAACAATACATCGATTTCCTTATCAGATTTCATTATATAACTCATGAGCAAGTTTGTTTACATTAGGAAAATGAACAACAAACCAATATTCTCCTGTTTCTGCTGAATGTGAAGACTAACTTAAATCTTAATGTATGAAAAAAGCTCATGTTTGCTAAAGCTTAACGGGGGACTCACATTTTACATGAGCGCATCAACTTCGCATTTTAACATTTAAACAAATTCATAATCAATTTAAACAATATTACCAAGAAAACGTAATGCTTAGAACATTAGATTAGAAAAAAAGACATTTTCCCATTTTAGAAGTTGGCAGCATCCACCTTAAATCAAACCATCAAGTTCACATAATTGTGATATTGCAATTACAGAAAACAAACTAATGCGATTTCAATCTTTAAAAACTTTAATTTTTAATTTAACATGCATTAATTTTTCCCAATTTGTTAAGACATATATGATGGAAATGTACTGCTTAGAAGGAATGATGCATCTGTTAATTCATTTTTAATGACAATAAAATGAGACCTACGGGAAATGTTAAAGAGAGCAGCTCTCACCATGATTTTTCTCGCTGAGCAGGTTTTTTGTTGCTGGCAGGAACATCTCCATCAGCTCCGGGACTTTGCGGATGACGTGAACTGCACACAGAGCTGCCTGAGGGTGAAGAGCTCATGTCAAAACCGTTCACACATTCAGAGCTCGACATGCAACTGGACATGAAGTCCACGTTCAGCTGTGAAGGAGTGTGAAATACCTTTTTCCTTAGATAGGAGTTTGACGTTTTGAGGAGTTTCTCCACTTCTCCAGCTAAGTCACGGCACATTTCGGATGAGCCCATGCAGCCCAGGGTGCACAAGGCCAGTCCCTGCACATACTGTGTACTGTGGTTCAAGTCACTGCAGACAGAACATTAGATGTAGAGGATGCACAGGAATGTATACCATCATTTAAGGCAATGTATATATACACATTTGTCCATTGTCAGGACAGAAAATTTTTTCAAGTTTTAAAACATATTTTTGTCAAAAGCTGTGCATTCAATCAAACACTGATATTTTGGTTAAAATTCATCTAGTTAGAACTGAGCATCAAAGCGACCAAAGTCATTCATTTTCAACAAAAGTAGGAAATTACATGCTCAACTGTTTGAACTACAGGAATGTTACATGGTGGTAGCAACACCAAGGTCATGGGTTTAATTCCAAGGGAACGCACAAATTGATAAAAACGTATACACTGAATGCAATGCAAGTCGCATTAAATAAATGCATCTGCCAAAACACATAAACATGGTTCGTTCTGACCACAATGTGTTTTATGAGTTATTGGTTGCTGAGAGCATGAAACTATCGAATTTAAGCAATAGACACCAAAATTGTACATTTTCATTTTCAGTCATAGTTTTGGTATCACGTTGGGTCACCACTTGACGTTCAATGTAAAATCTGCGTGCCCAAGAAAATCTGTTGAGATAATGACAATAACATGGGAACTGGTTTGGCTTTTTTTTTTTATTTTAAGAAATGAAGATGTGCAATAAGATGTTTGAGAGACACTAAATGGAACAAAGAAAGAAATGCAATTTAAAATGCCATCACACTGAGGAAGCAGCTCCCAATCATCCTGCACTTCACACTCTCCACCTACAAGTGTCACATTAAACCATGATAAAAGCATTAGCAATTAATCGCAACATGAAAATTTGATACCGGCATATCCCTAACTCCCACCAATCACACAGCCAGATGTTGATTCATGAGAGTGTTGAGACAAGATGACATCCTCGGCTTACTCACTTCTTGATGCAGTTCGTCATTAATAGATGGACGTCCTGCCTCTCATCCAGGAGCAGCATGGCTCCCAGGTATCCTATCCGTTTGTCCGTGAATTTCTGTGATGCAATCAGCTTCAGGCACTCCAGCTGAAAACGAAATTTTGCCCATGAAAGACTGCAAAATTCTGTATGTTTAAGTGGGCACTTCTTGCAGCCCTTTTAAAGATTCCTGTAATTTCTGAAATACCATTTTCTCACCTGGCCAAAGTGTGCCGGGTAGCCCAACATGTGCATATAAAGGAGCTTAGCCACATTTCTACAGCGGTATGTGTTGTCTTCTTCTCTAAAGGATGACCTAATGGCAGCACACTCTTTCTGGATCATCTCTCGCTCCTCGGCCTGGGTTCGAGCCGTCCGGATTGTCCGGATCAGCTCCCGCAGTCTGATCGGAGCTGGCATCCTCTGCAATGAAAGCACAGGTCAGCCAGTGGAGTGTCACAGCAGCACCAATATATGTGCCACTAAAACAAATGATGATTTATACAATGCTTGCATTTGCCAGAGCAACATGAGATCAAATGACCATGAAACACCATCGAGTTAAAAACACAAATAAACGCACAACCATTTGCACTCCATATCGAAAACATACATGAATGTGCTGTTGCACTTCTGATAACTTTTTTAAGGCTTATTCTGCGGCGATTATATAAGCCTTTTGACGGGTTGTATCATGGAGCTGTAAAAATGGTCATACTCACTAAGTGAATGAATCGCGTTTGTGCCGAACTCTACAATGAACTCTCCTTCGATTCATGAAGGTTTCTCTCAGATAATGTATGCGATCTCATAGTCTGAAGCATCTGTCATAGCAAATCAGCACATGCTGTTGTGAATAATTAAGCAGAGCATCTTCTCATAAGATAAGAACACGCAGTTTCATTAATAATTTAATAGACACCAACACGTCATCGATGTACTATAGTCCTTTGCTGCGTCACAAATTGTGATGTCAACACGATGTGGATTTTAAACCCGGAAGATAAAAAAAATAGTGCAAAAAAGCTTAAAATTGACCAGTTTTCTCAAATAGTTAAAATTACTGGATGCTAACATTGTCTTCTATGATGTGCAACACAAACACCTCTGCTAAAATCTCAGAAGTAGTAGTCTGGGGTTTCATGTAGTGGTCGACCGATATATCGGCCTTGGCCATTTTCCAAATATCGGCATCGGCCGATAAGTTTTTCTGTTTGGCCGATGTGTTCGAGGCAGGACTTTTATTTTGACGGCGCCGAGAACGGCTGCGGCAACGCCTGAGCACACAGTGCTCACACTCCCCCTCTTGATCGCTGTTGTCATTCAGTTCTGTCTAATACGGATAGAAGATCTAATAATCAGCTAGAACTGTTAAACAAAGGAATAAAAACGTATACAAAAAAAGTATTATGATTGCTTTAATATTATTAAAGGCAAACATTACAATACTTTCTCGTTTGCCGTCAGCATTCCGCAAATACGCATTTGTGAGTACCCTGTTGGTTACAGTGTTTACTTCCTTTTTAATTATATTTTTATTAAATATTTATTTGTGAAAAATACTTTGTCTTCTAGAGTATGTTTATTTCACACGTTTATTTTTTAATCCATTTTCAAATGATTTCAAATTTCTTAAATATGAATTAAAATAAAATTATATCGGCTTTATATCGGCCACCCTGCTTTCCAAGATATCAGCATCGGCTGTTTAAAAAAACACATATCAGTCGACCACTAGTTTCATGACCCTTTAAATCCTCTACATCCATAATCTTTCAGACCAGCTTTTGTTGTGTTGCATCCCAGACTTTTTTGGATCATCTTGCCACAAGTGCTTTGTTTTTAAACACTGTCAAGTTGACATTTTTAGATATCAGGCTTAATGAATGATATTTCCGTTTATATAATGCATGCATTTCTTGTTACATTAATTAATAAATTAGCTTTAACAGATAGTCCACAACAGCAACCGGTTGTCAAATCTAAATGAAGCATTGTCATGTTAATGATGTAAATAGGGAAATCGTTCTTGCTCTGCGAGATGAATTGAGCACAACAACCCAGAGCACTCTCTTGATCAGTCTAAGAATCCCAAAGGACGCCGAGCATCTCATAATTGACTAGCACATGTGGCAATCTTTTCTATGGGGACAGTCATTCTGGAAAAGGTGTATCAGAGTATGGCCATAATCAGCTCCATCAGCCAATGTGACAAGCAGGTGGAATCACCTGTGAAATTCCATTCCTTCAACAGAATCAGGTTTCAATCCACTGGAGGCTGATTAAAAATTAAAAGTGAGCACATACAAAGTGGTAAGATTACATGACTGCCTATTTATGCCCAGCTGCGTGAGCCTATTTCTACAACATTCAACATGAATCCAGCTCTAACAAAAAACATCTGGAGAAAACGGAAAAGGCCCTTGAAAGAAACTTTGACTTCACAGTAGGAGGGAGGTTATGCAATAAAGTTTCAAGATATTGAAGCTAATTTGGTTATCTTTTGCTTTCCAAAAATTATATCTGACATCTAATCAAAAGAGAAACCCAATAAACATATATTAGCATCCCAAATGAAGGCTAATGACAATGCAGAAAACGTATACAAGGGTAAAGAAAGCACAGAAAGTAGAGGTCAAGCTAACACCTGCCACACAGGAGAAAACCGATCTTCAGCTCATAAACAGTGAGAATTAGAGGGATATTAGCATGGAAGGTGTGAAACGGGGCTGCTAATAGAAAGAGAAGGCTCATCCATTAAAAACCTCTCTGGATTATTGTAGGAAGGTGTCGTAGGATGTGCGGGGACAGGTTTGTGGCAGCTAAATATATGAACGTGGAGCATATAAACAGACTGAACAGGAAATGACTCATCCTGCAGACTGAGGTTGAACGGACATGGCATTCAAGTTCAAACAATACAGTACTTTCACCCCACACAAAGAGCAGCTCGTCGCAACGCCGTAATGGAGTGCATGGATAGTGTGAGGTCACCTTGTAATTAAATGTAAGTTGCAAAAGCAAGTAATCACTGGCACTGGAAAGACTGAGCACTACAAGTGGTTTACTGCTCTGATAACGCACATTAATCACACCAGGAGATCCATCTCACACACATACATGCATGCATGCATGCATACAGAGCCAAAGACGCAACACAAAGCTAATATTCCTCCCTTCATCCATGCAGAGATGAGAGCTGCTTTTGGCTCTCCATCACAGAGGAGCCCCACACTTTAAATCTGTTAGCATGCAGCACCTAATTAAGCTGCTCAAACCAGAAAGGAACTACAGTAATTACTTGCTAAACAAAGACATTCTCAGCATGTCCCTGCAGAACAACAAAAGTTCCGGTTGCAAATGGATGGATAGTGCAAAGAAGAGCATTCAATTACAAATATGCAGTGTCATTGTCCAATTAAGCATGATGTGATAAAAGCAAAGTGTTATTCCAAGGAATAAAACATGTAGTGGCCTTTATGTCAACATCACAGTTTCGCTAAAAACACACTTTCATTCTTATGGTTTTCAAAACAGAAATTCAAAGAAAGGTCAGATAAAGTGATATTCTTGCAATCGTTAATATTACTCTTTACTGCTATTATGACTGCAAAACTAGTTTAAAATATTGCATAAAAGATATTGTGCAGCCTCTATATTTTGAAAAAAAAAAACTATAATAAATTGGCATAATCAAAGGACTTTTAATTAACATCAATAATGTTGCTTAAAACTGATATGAATCTTTAGGTCTTGCGATATGTACACTCTTTCCCTATTTTAAACACCTTTGCCTTCACTATTTAATTCGGAATGGCCCATATGTATGAAAAATGCATTTTCTAAAAGTACAAATATTTAATTTTGTCTCTCAATTAATATGGGGTCATAAAAGCTGCATACATATTAACTATAAAAGAACATCTCTCAAGTCATTAGAAATTAGGGCTTGAGAGATGTCAATGTAATTTGAGATTTGAATTTGACCACTTTTTTTTAAATGAAATATTACAGTCAGAAGTAAAATTAAAAAAAGTAAAAGTAAAAGTAAAAAAAGTTGTTTTTTGTTTGTTTTTTTTTTTAGACACACTCAAACCAGTGTCTCGGCTATCACATTTTTTCCACTTCAGCAAGCTCCAGCAATAAGTAACTAGCCTCTTGTATTGTGTCAGATGCCTTCACACACTTCACACAGTTCTTGGTCTTCTGCCAGTTCGATGAAAGCCAAGTCTTCTTTCTTTGAGGAAGGGATGCTTGATTTCTAAGTGCCTCTTCAGCTTACTTGGCACTATGTTAGCATTAGCAACCAACGAATCGAGGGCTAAGGCTAAGGGCAATTAGCAGCCCTGGCTTAACTTAAGCTGCAAACAAGAC